CTCCCCCACCCCCGCACAGATCGTTACCGACAGGCGATTCTCCCGTCACAGACCATTACCGACAGGTACTGTCCCTATCACAACCCGTTACAGATAAGCTTTATCGAAGTCGAACAGAAAGGAATGTTGAAGGGTTAATGGTAAGAAGTTGGATTCCTTCCACATATATTTTAATTAGTGATTTAGCTAATTACCGATGACGGACCCTAAGAGACAGGCGTTGGAACTATCACAGATAAGTTAGCAAATTCAGGGAGAATAGAGAGGAGAAGTTATGATATACTTTGATGAATAGTAGTGGGCATCGCCGTACGGCCAAGCATCACATAATGCTACACTATCAGTAAATCTAGGACCTTCTTCCGTGTTTCAGTTGTAAGTGGTGCATTAAAGTATATAATGAAAGAAAGAGTTCAAAAAAATATATAGAATAATGATTGTTGGGATCAATATTAACAGTTACATTATGTTTCACATTTTGATCCTGAAGGGATTGCGCTAACAGCGTTTTAGTAAGCTTCTTTTAGCAGTCACTCATATCAGAGTTGCAACCGGTAACGGTAAACGGTCGGTCCGGTCCGGTCTAGGATTCCTTACCGGCAGGTATACCAGCCGATACAAGCGACTTTTTTCAGACCGGCCCGGTCTAGATTTTTTTAAATTATTTTCGCTTTTTTTCCCTTATTTTTTTGCAAAAATACATGATAAAAGTATTTATTTTTGCATATCAAGCTAGTTTTTATGACATTAATGATGATTTCTAAGAAAAATTATGAGATATATTGTTTATATTAAATCAATATTTATCAAAAATGTATTTCTTAGTGATGAAGGAGAAGTCTTAAATAATTGGTAAAGTGATTCAGAGTAAGATATGACTCACATTAAATGAAAAAAAATCAATGGTGACTCATATACGATCAAAAAAAGGCATTATGTGCGACGTGAAAACGATCCATATTAAGCAGTGATGCGCTTATGCTAAATAATATTTTTATATGTGCGTAAAAGAAGATCAAGGACAATTTGACTTTAGACAAGTTTTCGAGCGAAAATTGTATTTGCAATTCGCTTTGCATAAGTATTCGGTTGTACAATTTCCACCATTTTGTCCTAATGTGTTTGCTTTTTGATCTTCTAGACTATCTGCAGAGCCTGGATCTTGAGCTGCTTCACGACAATCACTGACTGAAAGAAGAAAATGGGATGAGATCAATTCTAATTTAGTTCACTCTATCCTTAGATCTTACTTTTCTTCGCAAGACGTAGATTTTCAGCCTTTTTTCCACAACGATGAACAGCATCATAATTTCCTTGGCAATGAAAGAATTTGTCACAATTCTTGCAATTGATACGCCTCATTTCATTGTATTGAGCCTTCAATCGTTGACCCGGACATGAACGAATATCCAAACCAGCGCACCATAAGAATTTGGGCCAATTCATTGAAATAGTTTCGGGAACTATTACCGCCAAGCAGACTACCATCAATAGATAGGCGATATGCATGTTGCTACTTTTTCGTGATCAATGTAGGGAACGAGCACTTGTGCCATACTATATATACCATTAAAATCACGTCAATGTTTCACTCATATTCAACTTTATCAATTCTGTGAAGAAAAACTGGTTTACATGATAGCATCGAATTTCAAATACAATCTCATCAAAATGCCAATAAGAGAACGAGAAAGGATAGTCGAGATGCGTAAACGATCGATCAGAAGAATTAATGTTTTCTTATCGAAAATGTAAGCACTACCTTAATAAAATGTTTTTATCTATGCTATTGTGTTCCTGTAGTAAGAAAAAGCGGAAGTAATTCAATCGAACGACTAAGAAGTGCTTTATCTGCGCATGACTTTAAGCTATTCATTGTTCCTAGCTTCTACAACGCTCTAGCTTGTAAATATTTCTCATCTTTTTTATTCTAAGCCATATCTACCCATATAGTCTTTCGTGGTATAGCTTCATTTGTTAGCACATTCACTCTAAAAAAGGGCTTTTTGCGAAACCAAAAAAGGTTTTTCCCCTGAACACACGGGAAGAACCTTTTTTGGGGACACAGACATAACGTAGTAGTGCCCGTGACATCCGGTAATTTTTTCGGGTGTTCGGAATAGATTTTGGCCTTTAAAAATGTTTACCAGGAGTCCGTAACACATTTTGGTCAGTAGATCGTAATTAAAAAAAAATACATAGAAATCGGAATGAAATGGTCAACAATATGGAAAATAAGGTCAGGATATCGGGACGAAAATGGCCGGGTGTCCGTAAACTCATTTTACCTGGAGATCGTAAATATATCATAATACTTATAGAATGCGCTATCTTAAGGAGGATGGGAATACTATATAGTTAAAATCTCCGCTTGCAAATCCCTATTCTCTATCGATATTAAAAATAACTGTTTCTGCTCTTCTTTATGATTTTGTTCTCTGTTCCGTGTTCTTTGTTCGATTGTTTATGCTATTTCTTGTGTCTTTCTCTGTCTCCCTCTAAGTTCTTTTTTCTGTGTTGAAAACGATTTATTGCGTTCATCAGAACTTTGTTCTATTTATTATCTTTAAACACAAGCTACTGAATCATTTGAAATCTCTCGAAAAAGCGTACACAGGAACATACTTACGAACATCCTGCTTCTTTTCATTACGATCTTCATGTTTTCATTGTTACGGTCTTCCGGTCATTTTCATCCCGAACTTCACGCAAATTTCAGGTTTTTTCTCCTAAAAAATACTGCTGTCCGTTACGGTCTATTGGACAACTTTCATTCCGAACATTATGGTAATTAAAAATTTTGTCATTCCGAACACCATGTAGTTTTTAGATGTCCGCAAATCGTAACGGACATCTCCTCCGGGAGATCGTAATGAAAATCTAGTGCGAAATGTCTTTTTCTGCTTTTTTGGTTTCGCAGAAAAAGGGTTTCGTGCCAAACCTAAGAAAAAACAATTCAACAAAATTTCCGCACAAAACGATTTGCACTAAACCTTTTTCTAATTGCCTGTCCACTCAAAGGTTTCATTTAACCCTCTGGTGTTGTCCATCGTATGCAGACAACTCTCGTATTTCTGAATAGCCAAGCATGGTATATATCAAATAAATCAAGAGTAAGTGAAAATAGTCTATAGAGTCATTTTTCTTTATTGGCGAAGAAAATTACTATACAGCCCACTTCCTCATACTTTTGATTTATTTGATATATACCATACTTAGTTTTTCAGAAACACTGGAATAGTATGCATACCATGGGCGACACCAGAGGGTTATTACCGAATCCACCGATGATTTCCATAGTTGAAGCAGCCTAAAATATAGAAATAAATAAACATAATCATTTTACAAGAGAAAACTTACCTCAAAGTGTATATATGCATCAATCAATAATAAGACACTCAATAAATCTATGAAACTTAATAAGATCAGGGCTAGGAAATTCAGGTATTTTTCAAGTTACAAGTCCAGCCAAGTCATCAGCCATAAAAAAAATTCCAAGTCTAGTTCAGTCAAGTCAAATCTAGTCGAGTCAAAGTTAGACATATGACAGTTCCGTATCAGTTCTGATCTTGAGAACTATCCCAGCAGTTCTTTGATCGGAACTGATCTGACCTTACCAGCTCTTTGATAAAAACTGGTCGGTTCCAACAGTTCTTTGATTTGTAACTATCTTAAGGATGTGGGTGTGGGTGTGGTTTTGGCTTACTTTTACCCCCATCCCCACACGCACACACACCCTTCGAAATGATTACTATCTAATTTCTTGATTTCAAATTTAATGCAATTTCAAATTTTATTCCGAATCTTACCTGGTGATGAACCCTTAAGCAAGGTTCGAAATACATCGTAACTAGCTTGGAATAAACTTATATATTCACACCCACACCCTCACACCCAACTTGGCTGCATTTCATTCTTTGGAATATTATGCTCCTTTGTTGAATTAATTTTGTTCAAAATTCTTTCAAATTCAGGAATATATATACTATTGATTTAACTATTCGAACTATGTAGTTTTAGATTCTAAAGATACCTGATGAGTCTCTTAAGCAAGGACGAAACGTCGTATACTGCTTTGAATCTAACTTCAAAAATTAGAAACACACCCGAAGATCTGATAACTAGAGACTGCGCAACTAGCAATGATATACTTTGAATTAGTTCGAGCTCAAGTTGCTTCTTTCATGATTAATAAAGTGCCAAAGTGATGACAACTTATACGAATTTTAGTGTTCCGTGAGCTGTGTTTCTGTTAGTCGATATATGACCTATATTTGATTGCAGTTTATCCTACTTTTGCTTCATCTGGTATACACATATAAAAGAAGAAAAGAAATTTAAGTATATACAGTGGCCCGAAAAATTATTCGTACACCTCCTCAAGTATTTTTTTTCTCCTTGTTTTATACTACAAAAAGCAATTTAGTAGCTTCTATTAATCGTATCTTGTAACAGATTATGTCTAGTATATATACTGTTCTTTTCAGCTTTTAATATGATTCAACTGTTGTCTTATTGAAATAGGAAGTGAAACCAATGAAATTTTTTATAACGAAAAATTATCTGTACAGAGAGAAAAAAACAGTTTATTTTGAAAAATAACAACCATATGAAAGACAGTTAGTATTTAGTTGAATAACCTTTTACTTTGATGGATTCACACAATCGACTAGGAACTGAGTCTACTAATTTTTCAAGTACAGGTAATTCAATTTCATTCCATTCGTGCATTAAAAGAAGTCCAAGATCTTTAATGTTTTTCGGTTGATGTTTCTTCACCCTTCGCTCAAGCTCGTCCCATAAATTCTCCACAGGATTAAAACCTGGTGAATACGGCGGCCATGGAAGGGTTTGGATTCCTTTTCTGTTAAGCCAGTCTTTAATTAATTTGGATGCTTCGGATCATTATCGTGCATAAACATACATTGTTATCCTAATTTAAGATGATGGATCGAGGCAACAGATTTTGTTCCAAAATATCTCGATAGTAAAATCTATCCATAATGCGATCTAATAAACACAGTTTACCGACTCCCTGTCGAGTGAAACAGCCCCAAACCATAACTGAACCGCCACCATGCTTGACCGTAGGAACAGTACATTTTGGGTCGAATTCTTCGTGTCGCGTTCTCCATACCATAACTTTACCATCCGAGCCGAAAAGATTGAATTTGGACTCATCAGACCAAACAACATTCTTCCAAAAATCCAATGGTTTTTCAAGCATTGCTTTGGCGAACTTAAGCCGTTTTCCTCTGCTGATTTTGTTGACATAAGGTTTCTTACGGGTAACTCTCCCAAATATTCCAACTTCGTGTGCCCTTTTCCGAATTGTATCGACGTGTAATGAAATTCCTAATTCATTTTCGATCTCGACCTTCACCACGGAAGCTGACTTTCGTCGATTGAGCTTGATTTTACGTTGAATAAGCCTATCGGCCGTTGCCGTTGTTTTCCTTTTTGCGGCCACGTCCGAATAAATTACCAATGCATTTTGTTGCTTTATATTTTTTCATCATATATTGAACCGTAGATCGAGGAAGTAATGTTTTTACTGCTATTTCACGTAGTGAATCCCCATTCTGATGATGCCGAATCACCAGAGGACGAAGATCATTACTATGCTCCTTTTTCGGTGCCATAATGTATATTTACAATAATCGACATCACTAACTCCTATTTGTATAGTTCTTATAACTATTCTACAAGCTTCTATGGAACATTCCAGATCGTTCTGAGAAAAATTCCAGAAAAAAAGGATTCTTTTAGTGAATACAGTACAAATTTTCCTCTCTGTACGGATAATTTTTCGTTATAAAAAATTTCATTGGTTTCACTTCCTATTTCAATAAGACAACAATTGAATCATATTAAAAGCTGAAAAGAACAGTATATATACTAGACATAATCTGTTACAAGATACGATTAATAGAAGCTACTAAATTGCTTTTTGTAGTGTAAAACAAGGAGAAGAAAAAAATACTTGAGGAGGTGTACGGATAATTTTTCGGGCCACTGTATATATAAATTTATAACCAAAGTCAATGAGAAAAAAGTGAAAAAAATCTGTATTTTTTAATATAATAGTACTTCTTTTCTAATGGTTTGATAAAAGTCTATGAGAAACTATACTAATGAGAAGAAAAGTGTGAAAATCTTCTTGTTTATTGTACTAATGTGTCAAATTGAGAACTGCATATAACTAAAATCATAGCTTCAAGTAAAAGTAGGGTAAACTGCAATCAAATATAGGTCATATCGACTAAAAGAAACACAGCTCATTTAAAGTCGATTTTCTACAAAATAGAAATTAAAAAAATTACAGTGCAGCACCTGGGAATGTTCCCTCGTAAAAAAATAATAATAAGTTTTGGCTATATACACTATTCTTATCTTTTTCTCTATTACTAATCATCTTTGACACCAATAAAAAGCGTCCAACATAAGAAACGAATTAATTTTTTAGATTAATTTGGGGTGTGGGTGTGTGAACAGCTACCATTATCTATAGATTTCATCCTAACCAAAGGAATCATCAGATGGCAATCGAATCTAAATAATTTTAAAGAAAAAATTACAAGATTATTTTATATCTGACATATATATAGAATTAAATTAACTCATATATAAATGTTAATAAATTCAAATAACTGAATAAATGGAAAACAGTTTGGCCTATCTCTTAACGAAAAAACAAGTTCAATCTGCTAGTCTCAACCTTTGCTTTTCAGCAACCGACTTTTGTGTCGAAACTAACGATATAATTAATGTGCTTGAATAAAAATTAATTCAAATAAATACATGCAGAGTTTGATTTCGCTGACGCGTTTTGTGTATTTATTTAATAACATGAAACACTCATCAGGACTCTGCATAATAATAATAATAAAGCACAATAGAAAAAACTTAAACTACGAATAAATATATAGTGAGATTAAGTGTATAGTACAAATAATATAAACAAAAACAAAAAACAAAAAGATCTATAGAAAAAAATTACATTATAAATTGAAAAAGGTTTGAAAAAACAAAAAAACTACAGATAAAATGAAGTGATATCATCTGTAGAAAGAAGAAGAAGAATTTTTTATATAATTTACAATTAAAAACGGTTTAAAGAAACCGCAAATAAAAACTACAGATGTATATGAATTCGAGATTAATAGATATCTGAGATTAGAGATTAGAGATAAATAAATGCTACGAATAATTTTATAGAACAATTTTCGGGTGGGTGTGGGTGTAGATAAGAGCAAGATTGGCACCCACACCCTCAATAAAAAAGCAGCCCCCACTCCAGTCAGCGCTGGAACTGGTTGAGAAATGGTAAACGGGTCCGGTCCGGCCGGTAAATCGATCAATTGGAATGACATGTTCTACCGGTGAAATTCTGGCAAAAATCGGTTAAAAACCGGCGAAGCAATGTTGAAATTTTTAGAAAAAAATACTTTTACAGAAAATGACTCCACATATGAAATATTTTAAGAACATATGTGAAACACATTCATTATACTGAATTTTTTCAAAGAGAACCTCAGAACGAATGATTCAAATACTATGTTTTGAACATTTTTTTGGGCAGTCTGACAGAAAAGCATGAAATCTTGCTTTTTTATTGTCAAAAATAGGGTTAACAAAGAAGATTTCTCCAAAGTTCCAACCGGTGAAATTTCGATCTCTACCGGACCGGTGCTACTGCTGACTCCAATCGTGCTGGATACGCCGCTATTACATTAAACCCATATGAGCCAACCACGACACAAATCTTGCACATTCATTCCAATAAATGACCAATCATACACTGCAACCATTACGTCCCACATTTCAATTCTTTCCCGTACAGCTGTTCTAACTAAACGCTAACTCAGTCAATCCACCACACCCACACACCCAAATGAATAATACAGATATCCGTTCTTATTCGATATAAGACTTCGAAATAATTCTTAAGCATCAATTAATTTTTTCATCTTTATCTTTGTTCTTCCATTCTTCATAACTGTAATCTTCACATAATTCTGTATAGCTGAAAATATAAATGTAAGATAATAATACAAGAAGTGAAAATTATTTACTTGTGAAATTTCATAATATGTCGACGTAATTTATCACGATCCATTGTTAGAAGTGCATCGGCATCTTTTGCCTTTTTCATCAGTCATTGTGCAAAGCATGGATGAGCAGCACATTTTTTATTTTCACCAAAAAAATACTCAAGATGATTAAATATATTTTCACAATCTTCATCGCAGCCACACGATGAATTACATCCACTTCCATGTTTAAAACAAGGACAAGATCGAGTCGAACATCCTTCTTTACACAAACATCTTTTATTTGCATAATAGAAATATTCTTCTTTTTCGATTTCACTTTTTTCTTTAGGATTGATTTTCGATTCTTCATCTTCGCTTGAATCTTCATCAAACCACATTGTTGCCATTGATTTAATAGATGAAGAAAGAAACTTTTCTAAAAGAAAATATAAAACAATGATTAACTATAATCTCTGCATTAATTGATCTAACTGAAAGCACACAAAAGCGTCACGGTGCAGTTAAACTGCTGTAGTACTCTATCTTATTATATGTTCGTTATTTCAAATGAGTCTAGTCGTTGATAACGAACACAAGACGTTTGTCTTTATTTATTTGGATATAATACAGAGGACGTATTGAATGAATGGACGGAAAAAGGAAGAAAGGGAAAATGTCGAAAGGAAAAAATATCGAAAACCAGAATATGAGATGAAAATGAGCATGTAAGATTCAATTGAGGGTGAGGGAGATGCGTACTTCAATATATTCTCGTTTTCAGCATTTCTATCTATCTGCATTTGTATTAATTTTGTTTTCGACATTTTTCCTTTCTGCCTTTTCCCATCTTACCGATTTCTCGCAAACGTTTCCACCGTTTCCGCTTCTTGAAAACCCAAAAATTTCCGAAAAAAAATTGCCGCAAATTGATAGGTAGCCGACGATACGCTTTAAGTTTTTGAGAAGTTTTTCAAAACAAGAACTGTTTCCGAGGATAATTTTTGGGTTTCAAAAGTAGAATTATGGTTTCTGCAAATACTGTTCAAGGTTTCCTATTCGAATTCTCGAAAACAAAACCGTTTCGGGCGACTCAGAAACCCATAATGTGATTTCAAAAACTCAGCGTAACCCCGGAAGGTTTTCCGAATAGTTTTTTGAGTTAAGGAAAAGGTTCACGAAGGTATTTCGGTTTCTGTGGAGACGCTCTTTATTTAGAGTGTAAATAAAATGGTTTATCAAACCCTGATAAACGCTCCAAAATGATATATCATGCGTCGCATTTCAACATACTCTTGAAGGGATTATCAATCGGCGTTTTTTTTATCAATATAGTTGTAAGAGTTATATCGTGTTTCACATTTGTAATCCCATGGGGATTGCGCTAACAGCGTTTTAGTAGAATTAATTCGAACAAGTATAGCAGACTCAATATCATCTGATGAGTCCCTTAAGCAAGGACGAAACCTGTAATGGTATTTGCTTAGACACATACACCCACACCTATGTTTGCTAGAACTCATCCTTAATACACCCTCAAGACAGTGCCCAGAGTAACGATCAGGCAGTAACTATAATATTCTCAAGATAATGCTACCAGGAAACATGAGGCCTTGTTTTGTTACATATGTGGTTTTCTTCGGATACTCATTGTACTGATACTTGCCACTTAATAATCAAAATCACTAATTGTGGAATACATTTGCACTGTGGTATTTGTACTCATCCTCACCCTCAGTCACTCTTCAGAATGAGAAGAATGGATTTTATAACTGAGATAAATGTCAGAATATTATTTCATCTGACACCTGAACTTGAAATTTAAACAAGTTCAGTTTCATGATTTTCTTCATTATCAAATAAAGAAAATGAAGAATCAATTATATTTGTTTCCTATTTTGAATATTTGTAACTGTTGACGTGTCATTCTCCGTGTAAAAACGAGGATTCATGGCATCGAATTGTTTGTTGCCGAATACTGATACTGACATCTAACATCGGATTTGATCACATCCATAGTTATAGCACGTTCGCCATCTTTCTTGTCAATATAGTGAATGTGATCGTGTGCAGATAGTTAGAGGAACAAATACAATGTGGAAAAAAATGCCAGGCATAATAGAAAAACGTCACTGCATATTCTAATCTGTAAATCTTCTGACTGATCGTCAGATTTCTCTTGCGTGTTTCGTAAATTTTAGAATATGCCGACGGCGTTGAAATATGCTTTAATCTTTCTCCTGTCTGCAACTGCCAATGGGTCATTTCGTTTATATAATACGAAAGTGTCGGATAATGGTGATTACAAAGATTGTTTATATTCATTTATGTTGAACAGTGACAAGAACGAATGGCAATTGATCCCCTATTGTATTCGACACAACGTGGCAAGTAACGATGATGACGGTGAGCAATGTTACGGAAACGCGAACTTCACGTTTGAACATATGAAACGGAAGAATGTCCCCAGTCATCATCTTTACAGACGGAATGCGCCGATAGACACAATCAATCATTATCAGAAATATTTAGCTGGAGATGATTTTTCGCTCGGAAGCTATCGCTATTGCAATTGTTCAGGTAAGAAAATAGTGTACATGTCTTCCTCTGTTGATATTGAGATGGGTGTTTCTAGCTGACTGGTTTGGTGCTCGATGTCAATATTCGTTTGCGCAGTCAAATGGGACAGAGACATTTGATGAAATAGTCTGGTCTCAGTTGGAAGAAAGAATATCATTGGAAAACTTTTATGAGATTCTCAAGAATCCGTCGCTGCTGACATGCTATGAGGGCCTCCAATGTCGTTCAACGATTTGTCTGGATTGGCGACAGATTTGCGACGGTAGTTTTAATTGCGAGAACGGCGAAGATGAGCCTGAGGAATGTCTTCTGCTTGAAACTAACGAGTGTCAGAAGGATGAACATCGTTGTCGATCTGGTATGTGTATTCCGAAAACGTTTCTCATCGATTTCGACTTTGACTGCATGGATCTCAGTGACGAAAGTGAAACCTATTACGGTTGGTCAACTGATGACTTTTGGTACCGTACTCCAAAACTCGTGTGCGACTTCAGTTTGTGCGATGTGAATTCTTTTCCGTGTGGTGATGGACAGTGCGTGCGTTTGTTATCTGATGAGTGGCACCTATTCTGCAACAATGGTCGTGATATGTTTCTTCGTCAAAATCTTCTTTTTAAGACGCTAAACGACGGCACTAGTTCAAAAAATATCAGCTCTGAATGTTGGAATTTAATGATGTGCGTCTCTGACCCTAAAGACAAATATAGCTTTAACTATGCGACATGTGACTGTTCAGATCAGTCTATGCGTACAAGGCATTGTTTGAAGTCTTTTCAAAAGCATTGCCCCGTGTCGTTCGTATTTGAACATGTGTATAGTTTTCTCTATCCGTTTGTTCGACTTCTCTATCACAACACCCCAACTTATTCTTCCGAATGGTGGTTGCCAACTCATTTTTGTTACAGTCAGAGTCACTGCCCCGCTTTTCCATTCACTGGTTTGCCGTTGATCCATGGTTTAATGTGTATTGAGAGAGAAAACATTCCAGACTGGCTTGGGTTGACGCTGCTCTTTTTCGGATGTCGTTTTCGGCATACGTCGTTGTTAGCTGCCGATAAACGATTGTTCTACTGTGATCGATCGATGAAATTCATCTCAAAACATCGTGTCAGTGATGATTATTTCGATTGTTTTTACGAAGAAGATGAATTTATCATGCAAAACGCTACTGTTATGAGTAATCTCAATTTGACATATCATTTTAAATGTGCAGGAACCAATGAATGGTTTTCACGCCCACTGATTGGCAGCGGTCAGTGTTTGGATTACTCCGATACATTGCACGTCGGAAGTTGCAAAATAGCGTCTGATATTGGTTGTCAGTTTCTTCGAAATCTTTATCCGCCGCATGTCGATTATGTATTTCAAGAAAACTGTAACGGCATTGCGAGGTCCACTTTTCGTGGTACCAACGAAACGGACGAAGCAAATTGTGAAGAATGGCCATGGCCAACATATGGGCAATGTGATGGCTACTGGGATGCCAGCAATGGAGAGGACGAACTGAATTGTCCGAACACAATTCTCTCATATATCACACACACAGTTTTCAAATGTAGCGTGAACGAACATTATTGTGCTCATTCGAATAGAACTATGGGTTGTCTATCAAAAGAACGCGCAGGAGACGGGATTGTCGATTGTTTAGGAGAAACAGATGAAAGAACAACGTCATGTGCTTTTTTATATCCTCTGCACCCATTTCGATGTTCTAATGGCGATTGCATAAGCTTAGCTGTCATTTGTGATAGAGAAAATGATTGTTCCAAACGCGATGACGAATTAATATGTTCTTGGATTCCAATTAATTCATGCAAACGTGGTAACTTCAACTGCAACGAATTTTGCATTCCAAGGACGAGTCAGTGTGATGGAATCATTGACTGTCCACCAAGTGGTCAAGACGAATGGTTCTGCGATCTTAGGTACCGAAGGATACCGCAATTCTCTCTTGATAAAATTGAAAAATATCCTCCTGTCATCGTTTCACCAGATGTAATGATTACCACTGTTTTTCATTCGCCTAAGTCATTACCAGTTCAGATCCTACTCAAAAGTGAAAGTATCGATTTCCTGGAAGACTGGCTTTGCAATCGTGGCATTCGCGTCACAAAAAGATCTTTGATCATTGAATGTCTGTGCCCTCCGAGCTACTACGGTCCAAGATGTCAATATCAGGCAGAGCGTTTGTTAATCACTATTCGAGTCGATACACCAGCCACTCTAAGTGGACATTAGAATCAACAAAGTGTCATCAGATTGGTCACTTGCTTGATGCTCGACGACACAGTTGTTCATCATGAACAAATTGTACACGAGTCTTTAATGAAACAAACGTTTTACCTTAACTATCCGCGACCACCGCCAAAACAGCGTGGCAACTGGTCTGTTCGTGTCGATGCATTTTCAGTTACCATGTTCAATGTCGATTTGAAAGCATCGTGGTTATTTAACGTTCCATTTTCGTTTCTTCCTGTTAGTCGAGTCGTGTTGCATCTCACACTAAAAGATCCAGAAACTTGTAACACACGCATTTGTGTTCATGGGAGTTGCAGAAAATATTTAAATTCACCGTATCTGGAATATTGCCAATGTGAAGAGAACTGGTCGGGTGAGCGATGCAATGTCACAACCAGATGCTCATGTGCTCAAGGTGGGAAATGTATTGATCAACATCCAACACCCATTTGTGTCTGTTCTCTTGGACGCATGGGCAGCGAGTGTCACGTGTTGCTCGATTCGTGTGTTGATGTCAACTGCCAAAATGGCGGGACATGTCTGCCGTTGGATGAACGACAGTCCACGAAATTTTTCATTTGCTCATGTCGCAGTGGTTATTACGGATCACGCTGCGAACATGCTAGTGCTAGAGTTGAGATTCGCTTCTCAGATTCTCTTTCCCCTAACAATCGTCCGCTGTCGACAGCTGTCTTCGTTCATTTCCTTGAATTAAAATTCGACTCGCCCGGTATTTTGTTTGTTCAAAACCGTTTGTTACAGCAACACGTACGGTTGAGCAAAACACTTCTTGCTTTCAACAATGATCAGAAGTATCTCTCAAGTTTTATTCTCCTTCAAATCTTTTTTGAACCCGACAATCACGGTTATTACATCGCCGCCATTATCAAAAGTAACGTGACGGCCATTCTCGCGATAATCCACGAGTCGAATCGATGCCCACACGTCAATGAATTGCTTCTGAATGAAACGATTCGCGAATATCCGCCGAAGAAAAAAGTCAAATATTACAGTCGCGCTTGCAAAGTAACGAAAAGTATAAACTGCTTCCACGATGAAGCGTATCTGTGTTTCTGTTACAAAGATCGCCTACCAGACTGTCTCTTTTTTTAGCAAGAACCAACAAAGTGTATGACAGAATACTGTAAAAACAATGGTCGATGTGTGCAGAACAATTTCAATGGAGTATGGGACTTTGGTTGTGTGTGCAGCGGATGTGCCTACGGGTCATTGTGCCAACTGACAACATCGCAGTACGCGCTCTCATTAGATGCCATGCTCGGTCAAGACATTTTGGAAAACGTGTCACTGGTAGAACAGCCTTTTCTGATAAAACTAGTGTTAGTAGTCATTATTCTGATGCTCTCACTCGGATTGGTGTCGAACGTGCTGGCATTGATTACATTCAAACAGCCAAAAGTTCGAGAATTCGGCTGTGGCATGTATCTGCTCTGTCTGCCTCTGGTTGGTCAATTAGGATTGTCAATATTTGCCGGTCGATTCTTCTATCTTTTGGGAACGCAGGTCTATAATGTCAGAAATCTTTCAGCTGCTCGTTGGAGCTGCGTCTGTCTGGAATATTTTCTCAGTGTGTGTCCAATACTGTTTGACTGGCTGACGACATGTGTCGCGGTGGAACGGAGCGTCAACATTATAAAAGGTGCCTCGTTTAGGAAGGCTGATAGTGTCTGGTGGGCGAAGTGCGTCATTCTTCTTCTTATAGTTGTTGTCATGGGTAGTGCGTGGCATGAGCCATTTATCCGCCAGCTGATAGATGACCCACGAGCAACGACTCGGCATACATGGTGTGTGGTAATATTTTCATGGCCATGGCTCGAATATTACCGTCTGACAACGAATCTGATTAATCTGATCGTCCCGGTGTCGATCAATTTAGTGGCTACGGTATTTCTATTACACAAATCAACACGAATGAAAAAAGCGTTCGTTAAAAATAAGAGCGAGAAGAGCTACTTTACTATACTCAAGAAACAGGTTCCTCTGTATGGAAGTCCATTCGGATTGATTATTCTCAGTATGACACGACTCATCTTCTCGCTCACACTGGTCTGTATCATTCACCAGTGGCAGAAGTATGTCTATCTGACGGCGTATTTCATCTCATTTGTCCCATTGATGGGTACGTTTCCGATTTTTGTGTTGCCGGCCAAGATTTATAAAACCGAATTCAAGAGCTATATTCAACGAATGAAGAGAAAACTGAGAATCACAATTATTTAGTGGATGCCGAAACTTCATACGTTAGTTTCGTGTTAATGCTTCGCCTATATCGAACTCTGCTGGATATGTCCGTTTTTGATTCATTGTAAAAGTAAAGTTTTTTCGTGTTGCTTTTCAAACCTGTACAGTGTAATCAAGCTTCATTTTTTATTTTTTGTACTGATTCAAATATATGCAATGATTTTCGCGTTGACTGATTTGTGTGCTCCATTTCGACGCAATGATCATTTTTCGAAAGTGTGGGTGTGGCTGTGTTATGAGCTAACCGGGGTGTGGGTGTCAATCGAGAAAATGAAACACTCACCCATCCACACCCCAAACGATCAGAAATGTTTTTAGGAAAATCAGAAAGATCATTTTTTGTAAAATAGCGCCTTCTGTATTACGATGACGTGGCCCTAAATACTCCATTACTTTTATTTTATTGACTAGTGCTTCATTTTGAAAGTTTCAGCACTATAAAGATGAATATTTATCAATGGGTACCCAACCTTTACGAAAAACTTTCTTTTTTGAGGTGACGTTGCTGTTCACAATCAATTGACTTCGTTTTGTTTCTCTTCAAAATCAAATTCATGGATGTTAATATCATCTATGAGATAATTTAGTTTTTATTTGTGAAATGTTCCATAAAGTAAGAATCTCGAAGTCAAGAAAAGAAAGTTATCAACTTCTAGTGCATGGCTGTAGTTGAAGTTGTCTATATAAGTCAGAAATTAACATCGAATCATTGAGAAAAAAACGCTGACGCAATATATATCCATAATAGTAATGCGTTACAGCATTGGAACCGGTCAGACCCAGACCGGTTGAGAGAGTCAACCAGGCCGGTAGAGGCCGAAATTTCACCGGTTGAACGTATTGAGAAATATTCTTTGTTAACCCTATTTCTGGCAATAAAAAGCAAGATTTCATGTTTTTCTGTCAGAATGCGCAAAAAAAGTGTTCAAAACATAGTATTTGAATCATGCGTTCTGAGGTTCTCCTTGAAAACATTCAGTATAATGAATGTGCTTGACATGTGTTCGTAAAATATTTCATATGTGGAGCCATTTTCTGTAAAAGTCTTTTTTTCTAAAAATTTCAACATTGTTCCACCGGAATTTCACCGGTAGGACACGTCATTCCAATTGACCGGTTTACCGGCCGGATCGAACCGTTTTTGTTTTTCAACCGGCCGAACCGGACCGGTTTACCATTTCTCAACCGGTTCCGGCGCTGATGCGTTATGATTCTACTGAACTTGAATAGCAAAACTAGGATACGAAATAGTTTCGAATTCGGAAAAAATCAGCATATTTTCCGAAAATCAGAAAAGGTCGGAACAAATTCAAAATTTTTCCTTACTTTTTAGAACATCTGGCCACCCTGGTATTCCAGGGTGTGGATGTGGGTGTCGGTGTATGTAAGTGTACAACCTGAAACACACCCACACCCCCTCATTTTTAAGCAAGATCGAAACATCGTGTTATGCTTTGAATCTATCGAATATTGAGTGTTTAACACACCCACACCCAAATTAACCTTGTGATTTTTTTAAATGTATTTAAATTTAATTTAATCATAGAGATTATTTGTTAACTGATGATTCCCTTCAGCAAGGATGAAACTAGTCTTGAGTGCTGTTCACACCCGAAAAACAACGGGTGCCTATGAAGAACTATCGACAAATCCATTGAATGATATCTATCGTCGTGTGATTAATCTATTAAATCAATTACGTTCTCAGAATCAAATAAGAGAATGGCAAAAACAAAAATTAATTCCTGTTCAAAATAAAATTGAATTAGCTTATATGTATTTTCTAGCGAAACCACATAAGGTAATCATTGATATCTTTGTTAAATTGGAATTTGATTTTTCTTCTATTTAGAAAGGAACACCACTTCGACCGATTATTAATACTATACATGCAGTAACAGCGCGGATATCAAAATTTTTAGATCAAAAACTTCGTCCATTATTTAATCGATATGCTCGTTCAACAACAATTGTCGATGGTGTTGATCTGCTTCATCAACTCGATCAATATATACAAAAAGGTTATTTTAATTCATCAACATTATTTATTACATTTGATATTACTAATCTTTATACAATGTTACCACAAGAAGAATCATTAAAGATTCTCGATGAATTTCTTCGTCAACATAATTGTCATCGAATTCATGGCATTTCAATTGAAACAATCATTGAATTAGCTCGTCTTGTATTACAAGCAAATGCATTTGTCTATGGTAAAAAATTCTATCGACAAATTATTGGTGGNCTGAGTATTACTTTTTGCTTGCATTTAGATCCACGACTCACTGAACTGGATAATGAAGGCGATGGCACGCGTGAAAATGGCCAATGAGGACCCTCCACTCATTGAACACAAACAAACTACCCTGCCAAGTAAACAATGAACAAACTACCATTAAAATGCAGTACTGTACCAATGTTGACCATTTCGACTATTATAATGCATTGCAAGCATATATTATATGAACCATTTGACTATTTCATGCGAATGTTTTTTTAAAGTTTCAAATTCATTCATAAACTCTTGTGAGCTAATGAAAATTGTATTCCTGTATTTATTCTATATGTTTCATGATTATTTCAACCGTCCTTAAGTCAAGAATATTCTTTCAAATTACCCTAATCTCAATCATTACCATTCTTTGTGAAATACTGGAGGGATCTGCCAGGATCATCAATCTCAAAGATCTTGCCAATTTTTATATAGAATGCTATTTCAAATTCTAGTAGTTCCTGTTTCCAGGTTTTTTCAGTGCAAAACAGGATACTGTTCAGGATTTCTTTAAATTCCTGCCCGAATATTATTTTAAGATAAGAATTCGGGATCCTTCCAGGGTTTACTCAAGCTCATATACAGGATTCTCTCAAGGCTATGAAGGAGCATTCTTCCAAATACTTTATTCAATTCTTTTCAAGATTTAGGTCAAATTTTCCCATCAGGATGCTGCCAGGAATAATGGGCATGTCAGACGATGATCTCAACAAGATATTAGCCAAATCCGCCGGAATGCGAAACTTCCCAATGCTGAAAGCTTCAATCAGGGTTTTGTTAAGAAAATCTTTTCAAGTTACTGTTTAGCCAACTCAGTTGTGTATATTTATAGAGAATAACTAAAAGGATCTTCCAGGATTTTACATTTCACGAATCATGTCAAGTTTCATTCAGGATTGTACACAGATATTGTTCAATTTCTTGCTCGAATTCTTTTGTCAATTGAATTTGTAGAATCCTGTTGATATTAACAGTGAATCCTATCCAGAAACCCGGCGAAAATCATAGAGAGGATTTTGCCACGATATCAATATATTTTAGTCAAGATCTGTTCAGCATTCGAATATGATGATCTTGAGGGTGTGAGTGTGGGTGTGGTTTTCTGTGTCAATTTTCCTGGCTGCTTCATCCACACCGACAACCGCACTCGCTCCTACACCCACACCCACACCCACACACCAGCCGCGTAACCAGGGGGGAGGCAAATGGGCAATTGCCCATTTTAATTTTCATTAGTTAATTTTTGCCAATTGAAATTTTACTTTTTCACAATTATTTACTTTTAAATAAACTAGCTATTGTCTTTTTTCTTTCGTTTGAATCGCATAAGTACCCTTTCCTTATTCTTATGAATAATTAATAGAAGATAACAGAACAAAAAAAAATAACCAATGCATAATTGTACATACTTATCTATATGTATACTAGTGCTTTTCTATTATCTTCTCTCAAAATGTTGACATGAAAAGAAAACGATTGAACAATAACCTATCTCGTTCAGTTTACCTTCTTGTTTCTTCTTTCGCGCTACTATATTATAAGAAAAGCTTAAACAAAAAAGAAAAACAACAAGTATGCTTATATAGAATTGCGCACTTATACTTATCATTTTGCTGTTCTCTTTTATCCTGTTTTAAAAGACTTATACTAAGCCATGCCCCTGGAAAACGACCAAATACGCAACGGCGGATTCATAAAATCAGTAAGGGAGTGGCACTCCTGGTCAAAAAGCTTTTTTTGAAGCCTATTTGAGGCAATACGACTCTTGTGTTTCATTTTTGCTGAGAAAAATCAAAAACATTTCGTGAAGGGGGTGCCCCCCGTCAGTTAGCTGTAATGGTAGATCCGCCAGTGCCAATACGTTATTAGGTTATCACTTTTCATCGAAATATTGAAATTATATGTAAAAATATACAATCGTCGTCTTGATTTTGATGTTTGAATTTCAAAACTAAATGTTATAAATAGAGACTGAAGATGGAACAAAATATGTCTAACTAAAAAAGTGTGAGGAAGGCTTAAAATCTGAGTTTCATTTCATATATATTAGGTTAAAAGAATCTCATCTTTTTTGTGTAGTTAAATGAACATCATTTTATTTTATTTTATTTTGCATTTTTTCTATGTTATCAATACTTTGTTGGGTTAAAAAGTTTTGGCCCATCAATGAAAATCTTGCCCATTTTGCCCATGGTTTTTTTTTGACTTATTTGGAAGTTTGCCCAGTGGTCTAAAAATCCTGGTTACGCCGCTGACCCACACCCACATCCAAATCTAACCATTCTTTAATTGTTGTTTCATTTTCATTCGAAGTAAAGAAGACATCATCGATATATCTAAATTTAGAAAATTAAATTAGAAATTAGAAAAAAAAATAAGCAAGTAAAATTCAAGAAAATAATACTGACCGACCATACAATTCATAGGATGGTAATTTTGAAAGAATAGTTTGTCATTCCCATTTCCACATGAAAATATTTGCTAGTGTTAATGTAAATGGTGAACCCATAGCACCACCAATAATTTGTCGATAGAATTTTTTACCATAGACAAATGCATTTGCTTGTAATACAAGACGAGCTAATTCAATGATTGTTTCAATTGAAATGCCATGAATTCGATGACAATTATGTTGACGAAGAAATTCATCGAGAATCTTTAATGATTCTTCTTGTGGTAACATTGTATAAAGATTAGTAATATCAAATGTAATAAATAATGTTGATGAATTAAAATAACCTTTTTGTATATATTGATCGATTTGATGAAGCAGATCAACACCATCGACAATTGTTGTTGAACGAACATATCGATCAAATAATGGACGAAGTTTTTGATCTAAAAATTTTGATATCCGTGCTGTTACTGCATGTATAGTATTAATAATCGGTCGAAGTGGTGTTCCTTTCTAAATAGAAGAAAAATCAAATTCCAATTTAACAAAGATATCAATGATTACCTTATGTGGGTTTGGTAGAAAATACATATAAGCTAATTCAATTTTATTTTTTGCCATTCTCTTATTTGATTCTGAGAACGTAATTGATTTAATAGATCAATTACACGACGATAGATATCATTCAATGGATTTGTCGATAGTCTTCATAGGCACCCGTTGTTTTTCGGGTGTGAACAGCAGTCAAGACTAGTTTCATCCTTGCTGAATGGAATCATCAGTTAACAAATAATCTCTATGATTAAATTAAATTTAAATACATTTAAAAAAATCACAAGGTAAATTTGGGTGTGGGTGTGTTAAACACTCAATATTCGATAGGTTCAAAGCATAACACGACGTTTCGATCTTGCTTAAGGATGAGGGTGTGTGGGTGTGGGTCTGGATGTGGCGTGTATCAGGTTGTACACTTACATACACCGACACTCACACCCACACACACATACCTACANGGTAGTTTGTTTGTGTTCAATGAGTGGAGGGTCCTCATTGGCCATTTTCACGCGTGCCATCGCCTTCATTATCCAGTTCAGTGAGTCGTGGATCTAAATGCAAGCAAAAAGTAATACTCAGTGATCAAAATGATTTTCACACTCACTCTTTCAATACCACTGTCAATCAGTTCTACTCGCTTTTGTAGACTAGCAACAGTCGACTCAAGCCCGCCTTCCCTAAAATCTCGTTAGACGCAAAGTTCGACTCTCCTTGTCACATTACTTTAAATATCGAGCTTACCTCATCGCTGGTGCTTCCGACATCTTCGATGGCGATAAAATCACCGAAGAATTTTTCCAACCAGCTTTACTGTGACGAATTTCTGACACCACTTGGGTGTAGGCGGTATCAAAATCCATTTTCGTAAAATCCACATATTTTAGACATGTTGTTATGAAAGCTAACCATCCGTCGGCTTTGTAACCAGACTGCACTCTGATTGGAATCAAGCAACGTCGTTTTTCAAATGCATACTTCGCTTCGGCTTGACAATAGGGACTCAAATAGTAATTATCACTCATACATATTAGGACGCAACGCGATTGCTTAATTGCATCAGCCATCACTTCCATCATTGAGCCATGCATTTCTTCACGATCAATCCATACACGAAATTTATCAGCATTGAGAGCTTCGTGAATTCGATGGCATATATGTTTGTCCTTATGGCAATACGATATCATAACATCATACTGAAACTCATGTTCAGTCTTTCCGTACAATCGCCATAGAATGCCACCAGCAACTTTCTGCAAATATGGTGCATTCGATGTCGAGGTCAATGTTTGTAGATACTGAACAAATATGTTGTTTTGTCGGAGCCAAGCTTCGACTTCATTGTTAAATGTTAAGGACATAATAATTTCGAGTGCACATAGTTGCACTTTTTCAGGATCGAACTGAGATTCTGTTGCGCACTGAATCAGGAGCGAAAGACCTTCGACTTGTCTTCCGAACTCCGCTTTTATTTCATCGTGCTGACTGAGATCTGCAGTAAAGTTAACAGGTTTTAAAATAAGTTTTCCATTTTCAATTAGAATTAAAATGATTCTCTCTAGGTTAATTTTGCGGTATTATGACCTTTTTTATTTATTTATTTATCAGTAGCCAAAACGATAAACTGATATGGAATGGAATCGACATAAATACATGACTTGTAGAAGTCTTTAGTCTATGAACCAATTAGATGTATACAAAACCTTAACACTTTCAGTCTCAGCTCAGTTTCGAAAGTTGGGCTTGGTGCAAGGCATAGAGTTTTCGAATTGTTTCGAAAAATTAGATGACAGGACTTTGTTAGAAGCATTTTTCTAAAATTGTCATGATCGTTACCAGTAACAGGGTGATCAAGAAAGAATTGTTACTGTCTTCACTCTTCTGATTCATACCATCGGCACTTTCAGCAAAACAGTGGGCAACATCAATTTGCTTAGAATCCGTCTTGTGGAATGATCCAACCAAGAGAGGTAAGATTCTGCCAGATCACAGAAATACTCATTTTTTAGTTGCTAAAAAACTGTATTTAGCAATAGTTCAAAGTATCTATTTTCATCATCTGTGCTAATTTCTTAAAGATTAAACTGTTTCGATGACCAAATTTCCGCTCAACTGAAAGTCCCAAATACTCACAAAGCGGAAAGATTCTGATAGGTGTCGTTTGAAACTAAAGAGGTTATGGTTTAATCTCTGTAAATGTGCAGATGAAATTTTCCTCTTTCAAATGACATGCTTATCATGATGCAGAGCTCGGACGCAAGTATTTTTACTTGTACTCGTACTTTTACTTTTACTTTGAAACAATATGGCTTGTATTTAATTGTTCAGTATTTTATTATCAATGTTCAGTAAATTTTCTATCACATGTTCAGTAGTTCTTGTTCCGTAAATAATTCAAGAACTGAAGTAAACAATTCAACAAGTTCAATAATTAATTTGAAAAGATTTAGTATTTAATTTGTTTTTGTTTAATATTTAATTTAAATAAAAATTTGTTCAGCTTTTTAATAATTCATTTCAGTAAAAAGAGTGTAATTACAATTAACAGAAATTTATTGAATCAGTAACGCTTTTCTGAATTTTGCAAAGGGTGTGCGTGTGGAGTAGAGCCCATCGGGTTCCACCGCGAGTCGGACCCAACCGGGTCCGGGTCTGCAAAATTTTCTGATCGGATGTAGATTGACAGAAAAATGTGATCCATACAATAATATTTTATATGTATTTAAGCAAAAAAATCTTTAGCTTATTTATGAAAAGTGGAATATATGGTCGTTCGATTAGAAAAATTCATTGAAAGTTTTAAGAGTGCTTTTAAATTCTGGACTACGAAAAAGTTGATCACTATGGTTCGCTTCCAAAAATACTCATCGATCAGGTTCGGGTCGATGTTCAACAAATTTTAATCGCCTGGGCTTGGGCCCAGAAATTTCAAAACATAAAACAGAAAATAAAAAAATAAAAGAACAAACAAAATCAGAAAATAAAAGAAAACCCAATCACTCGATCTAATGTAAGTGATAAAAATTTTTGTTCTTTTGATGTTTTCAGTGTTCTTTCTGATGTTTGATTTTTGTGGTGATTTTTTGATTTTTTTCTAATTTTACAATATGGAAATAGGAAAAATCTCACCTCAGCTGTTTTTCGCCTTGTAAGACAGTCATGATTTCAATGATCTTGACTATTTATTTGCGATAAATTCAAATAATCTTACAAGAATCTGTGAAATTTTATATAGAACGGCAAAAAATAATTTACTACTGTATTAATAGAAGTCCAAGGCTTCTAATTCATCTTTCATATCGACCTTTCCCTGGGGGGGGGGGGGGGCGGGGTGTGCTGGGGGGGGGGGGGGGATTTTTGGCCGGAAANACATTAGATCGAGTGATTGGGTTTTCTTTTATTTTCTGATTTTGTTTGTTCTTTTATTTTTTTATTTTCTGTTTTATGTTTTGAAATTTCTGGAGGGGGTTGGTGGAATTTAGGACTCTAAAACTAATTATGATGTTGTACGTTTAAGTCATTTTACGTTCAGCAGAAGGTTTAGCGATGAAAAAGTCACGTTACTGGTAATTTGTGTTAGATAGCGGTCGAAAGAAAGAGATATGACACTGGCAGAACAAAAAAGTTGTACTCCTTGCGGGACGAGAAGCTACGCCTTCTACTATCCGGACAGATGTCCTAATCTGATTAAATTAGAAGAGACGCCGTTATATCTTTTCGTCTTGGATCACTACTGCTCATGTGCATGGTCTCACAATTTTAATCAAAATTATACTTTATTTCGAAGATTATTTTTGATTAAAATTCAAATTATCGTTCATTCGGAGATTTCAATCGATTATAATCTTTATTTTGTTGCACAAAAGTCGGATTATAATCTGACATTTTTTTCAATGGGGACAGACCATTGAGATTGATAAACGTGTTTAGTCAAACATTTATAATTCTAAAATTCAATATAGGAGTATTATATAACTTACTTTTCAGATTGAGAAGCAAATTCATGAGACGTGACCTTGTTGAGGTAAGATTTATAGATTCTTTCAGATAGAATATGAAAACAGTGGTGATTTGAGCTGCATTTGCCAGTTGTTTAATATCATCACTACTGAGAACAACGGCTAGTATACGATAGGCATGAAACTGAGTTTTGCTATAGTTAGCCTTTGTGAGTCTGAGAAGGATTGACGTAATGTTATACTCTTTTAATTTTTGACAGAGCTCAGGCAAAAATGTCGTAGCGTATATGTACAGAGTGGCATAACACAGAAGTTCACTGGCCCGTTTCTGAAGGTTACCAGATGTAGGATCCTGACTTTCCAGATACAAAAGTTTTTTTCCTTGGACTATTTTTAGTACATAGTCAAGAAGTTTCGTGTGTTGTACGCTGTAATCGACAAGAAGACAGTCATCGGAACTATATTGGCAAAGCCAGATCATGTAAAACATACACCATATTACAGATTCTTTCCAACCGTCAATGGTCGGTAAAAAATATTTTAAAATGTCCGACGATCGACTCAATGTTTCTTCAGCTGCTGCGCGCGCAACGTCCGGCTGGCGCTTACACCAAAATGATACTATGTATTTGGGACACGTGACGAGAATAAGCTTCTGAAAACTAGTAATTTCATCTTGCTTCGCAGACAGTCGAAGAAATGATGTCTTATATTCTGCTGACTTGACAAAGTTAACAATGGGCATTATTAGTGAACTAAGGATCACATTATCTTGGATATCCGGGCGGAAACGCTGAAATTTTCGATATGTATCGATCAGATGCCCAATACCACTGATTAGACTGTCATGTGATGTCAACGATACGCTGCTGAGTTCTCTGATTAAGCATTGGATTATCGTTGCATCCGTGAAAAGTTGTTGAAATAAATGTATGTTTTTGTCATCGACATAATCGGCCATTCGAGAAAAGAGTTCACCGATACGATATAATAAGTGAAATTCGTCAGCCGGCTTTTGAAAAATATCAACCAATGTATTTCTCATAAGGATAAATATTGGATGGTCGATTACATGAACACAAGGGAAATTAGTTTCGATAAGAACATCAACAATCTCGTGCAGATTTTCATTATAATCTGGTGTTGCTTTAGACATGATTGCAATGAAGCGTGTCCTCAATATCTTCTTATCACCATGATCTAACGCACGAAGAGCCATGGAAAGGGTTGAACTCATGTTCACAGAACTGCCTAATATTGAATCAGAATAAACGAAGTAAAAGTTACAAAAACACCAACAGTAGACGAGAATATTATAATAGTTTGATATAAACTTGCGAACAAAGACAGATCTAGACCGATATAATTATCAAGCTACATTGATGTATATCCACAAATGAACTCTATGTTTCATAAGATTTTTATAATCGGAATGAAAAGAAATGCGTCAAGTATTGAAATTCGTCATCGTCTCAACGACTTTAGGAGTGATGAACAATAATATACCTAGGCGAACATCGTTTAAGCAAGATATTGGAGACAGATAAGTGAACAGGTCTTAACAATTCATTACAAGATAATCGCATTATCTTGTACCCAAGATCTGATTACACATCTTGATTACAGATGTGTAAGATCTTAGGTATGAATTCATGAGATCTTGGATGCACATAGGGGTGTGGATGCGGTTGCGGTTGCGGGTGTGTGGGTGTGGGTGTGGGTGTGAATATGGTTGCGGGTGTGGTTTACAGTGTCAATTTTCTGGGTAGCTTCATCCATGCCGACACACACACTCGTCCCCCACACCCACTCCCACCCGAGCATTTGAATTTGGGTTTGTCGCATTAGCCATAAGCTTGCGTTTAATTTTTAAAAAAAGACGACAGTTTACATATTCACCTTCACGTTTCTATTTGTGCTTATTCTACCATGGTAACATTGTTACAACAAATCGGAGAACAAAAAAAGAAAGCGCATGCACACACTCTAAAAAAAATAGGTTTTTTACAGAACCTAAAAAAGGTTCTTATCCTGGGCACACCGTCAGATCCTTTTTTTGGTTCTGTAAAAGTGAGGTTTCGTATCAACCCCCTTAACGAAAATTCAAAAAAAGGGTTTCGTAGCAATGGTTTCGTACAAAACCTTTCAGAAATCATTCAAAAAAAGGTTTCGTACCAGACAAAGGTTCCGTTAAAAATTTCATTTAACCCTCTGCTGCCGCCGCGGTATGCATACTATTCGAGTATTTCTCAAAACCCGAGTACGGTATACATCAAATGAATCAAAAGTCAGATGAAATAGTCTATAGAGTAATTTTCTGCATTCAAGGAAAATCATTCTAAAGACTATTTCATCTTACTTTTGATTCATTTGAAGAATACCATACTCGGGTTTTGAGAAATACTCGAATAGTACGCATACCGTGGGCGACAGCACAGGGTTAAAGCCAAAGCCATCCGTGATTTCCATAATTGAAACAACCTAAAAGACGGAAACGAATAAATACAATCATTTTATAAGATCAAACTTACTTCACTATTCTTTTAATTGACACAATCTAAAATAAACAAATTAGCGAAAATTTATTATTTCTCAAAATCAGACTAACCGAAAACTCGATATATATATATATTAACCAAGAATTCCAAAAACGAATAATTCTTTGATTTGCTAAGAGAGAACTTACCTAAAACTGCATATAAGCACCAACCTAGAACAAAAAACAAATAAAATATATTAAATTATNAACGAAAATCCAATCTTATGCAAAATTCTCTTTTCCAGGAAACTCGATTTGGTGAACTCGAATCTGAAATTCATTTTGGAAACATCAATATTGCAATTGTTTACTGATTGAATAATAACGGTTTGGGGAAAACGCCGATCCAATTCGAACTCTCCACATGAAATTACATACACGGAGATATTTTCTGAAAAACTCGATTTCTGCTGGTTCCGGGCGGACCAATAGGGTTTCGATGAAAATGGTGCTCAGATTCGGGTTCCTCGGGCTCGAAAATCTATGGCAGTTTTGAGAAGAACCATGAAAAATAGTTCATGCCCGAAAAACGGACATTCAATTTTCAGCCATTTTGAGCGCTGCAAAAAGACAAACAATTTTCGTTTGGACACTCATCCTTTCATGACTGAGAAAAACCAAAACCAAAACTGTCAAAAGTTTTTGACGGCTTTAGTTTTGATATAGTTTTGGTTTTGAGTCAAAACCAAAACCATTAGCAAAACCAAAACTTCAAAACCAAAACAATTGCCAAAACCAAAACCTCAAAGCCAAAACTATGGTCAAAACTAAAAACCATGTCAAAACCAAGACTCAAAACCAAAAATTCGAAACCAGTTTCGGCGCATGCCTACAGGCAAGTGAACAGGTCTTAACAATTAATTACAAGATAATCGCATTGTCTTGTACCCAAGATCTGATTGCACATCTTGGTTAAAGATGTGTAAGATCTTAGGTATGAATCCATGAGATCTTGGATGCACATAGGGGTGTGGATGCGGTTGCGGTTGCGGGTGTGTGGGTGTGGGTGTGAATGTGGTTGCGGGTGTGGTTTACAGTGTCAATTTTCTGGGTAGCTTCATCCATGCCGACACCCACACTCGCCCCCACACCCACCCGAGCATTTGAATTTGGGTTTGTCGCATTAGCCATAAGCTTACGTTGAATTTTAAAAAAAAAGACGACAGTTTACATATTCACCTTCACGTTTCTATTTGTGCTTATTCTATCATGGTAACATTGTTACAACAAATCGGAGAACAAAAAAGAAAGCGCATGCACAGGAATGCAAAACAGCAAAAGAATATACGCAATTCGATGCAGTTCTTCAAACTCCTTGAAATTGTATTGACTCGGCTGTTTTCAAGGCTTTTTTCTAAACAGAATCGAAAAGCAAACAGCACCCACCACAATTTTCAGTATGTCGCTACGATACAAAGAACAAGAAAAAGACAGTGAGGCAGTTTTTTCTACTGATTACCTAAATAAACACTGTACATTTCATACTTATGGCATACCGAAAGTGTCGATATTAATATTACAGCAGCTACCGGGACTTATTTTTTCGGGATTTATTGGGATTTTTTAATAAATCCTGGTATTTGTTTCCGTTTTGGAATTTATCGGGATTTATTCGAAGCTATTGGGATTTTTTTAATAAATTCCAGTATTTACCTTTGTTTTGAGATGTAATACGATTTAGAAAGTAAATTCTGATATTTATATTTATTTCTCTATTAATTAAAACGTTCACGCATATATGGAGAAAAATTTTAAGTTTATTCTTAAAAATATATAGATAGATTTATGGTATTCTAATATTAACTACCCCCCATGTAATCACGAAACGCATTTTAGACGCACTTATATGCGTTTATGTTGCAAATGGTGGCGTTCTGATGCGTTCCGGCATCGAGTTATGATAAAAACGCAGATAAATGCGTTTGTAATTATCTTTTTAAACGCGTTTAAAGAACTTCGACGAGTTT